ACAAAAAAAAAAAAAAAAAAAAAAAAAAAAAAAAAAAAGACTTACACAAACCAAAGTTAGTACTGTTTTATCACAGATTTCATAAAGTTCAAAAATAGGAGGTTAAGTAAGTTGCCCTAGGTGGTAGTCTCATAACTTTTAAGCCATTAAAAAATAAGGTTTCTATTTTATTTTTTAACCAACTAAAATAATCAAATAAGTAAGATTTTAATGAGATGCACAAGTCTCATTCCACAGAATGAGCATATTTAAATACTAGCAATATACTGCTAGGAAATACTATCAATATATTGCTAGGAAGGTCTCCGTTCTTCCCATTTCAGGAAGCACTGAGGAACACCAGAATGTGGGGACTGGCACATATGTCACTGTCTTACTAATTCAATGTTTTAAAAAAATATGTTCTGCAGACTTTATCAAAGGCTGCATGCAGATTACTAGCCTACTGAATGAGATTTTCTGAGCACAAAATCTAGGACTATGCATTTGAATCAGTTTCCCAGGTAACTATTATGCAGACTCAAGTTTGGAAAACCACTGCCAAGAGGGCAAGTGAACCAGAACGCAACCTTTTGTTAACCCCATTACACCTCTGTGAATACATCCCCTTAAAGGGACAAATTTCAAAATATCTTCATCAAATAATGCCAGTGCTTCTTAACATGGTAACTGAGTATTTTACAGCACCAATAATCTATGGAACCAGTGGGTATATATTGGAATGATATCACTGATGGTTTAAAAAGTATAACACTTTCTAATGTCTCACATATTTGTTACACAAATGCCAATGATCATGCAAAGTAACCAAGGCCAGATTACATATAATAAGAAGAATCATGATCTGGTGGTAAAATCACTATTATATCAAGTAATTGCCAAAAATATAGTCAATAGAATTTTTATTATTGCCCAATGACTGTAAGAGAAATTACTGCAATTGATACTCTAAGTTTTAAATTTTAAATATGAATTTGGTTTTTAAAAAAAGACTGAACTGTGATTGAAAATCATATATGTTGGCTGATCATATTTTCTTAAATTATATTCTTGGAAGCAATACTTCAAACTTCATTTCTTCATCTTTCAACAAACATTTCCTAAGTGCCACTTATCAGATGCCAAGTATCAAAAAACAAATTCCCTGTACTGTCTCACAAGAGAGGAGATATATGCCTAAAGCTACTGAATGTGGCTTTAATAGAGGTGTGTGCCTGGTACATTGAACTATGATCTGTGACCAATTAGTAAAAGCTTCTATAATGCAAAACAATATGGCAGAATGTATTAAACACTATTAAACATAATGTTAATATTCTGAATGACTGCCCATGATTCCACCATCTAATAACCATATCAGATAATAAAAGTTTCTAGTTTAAAAATATCACATTAAAAAAAATTATTAAAACTTTTACAATTCTTAGCATAAAAACACATGACACTACAAGTAAAACATAGATGCTTTCCTTATCTACAGCCTATATGTGTTAGTATAACTAAGCTGCATGATTTTATGAATCAACAGTCTATGGCAGAAAATCCACTGATTATAAACTCACTTGCACTAATTAAGAGGTCTTCAGTGAAATCAAAGGACCTGGGCCCTAGTCCTGCTCTTATCACTGACTTTCCTTGGACAATTCACTTTTCCTCCCTAAACTTCATTTTCTCATACGTAAAATGTAGAGGTCAATTAATAGCCCTCATCATTCCAGGGATCATTCCAGTGTGATGACACAGTTCCCTAGCATTTTGTCTGACTGCTCTGAGTCACTCAGATCCTCATTCCCATTGAATTGGAGGGGATTACACTCTAAGGCAGTAGCTAGTTCAGTCCACTAGCACTCACTCCTCCACTTCTACCACATTCTCCAACGTCAAGGCAACCAAGAGAGCCATGTTGTTATTCAACTGAATACTTAGCAAGGACTAATCTAGTGACACCCTTTGCAGGGTTACAGTACCACTCTCTTATTGCAGATTTCAAAAATCTCAAGGATAATTTACTGTAGGTTAATTATTATCACTAACCTGTGCTGAACTCTTTTCAAGTTTTTGGACTAAATTATCCCAGCGCTGGGCAAAGTTGTCCAGCCATGCTTCCATCTTTTGGGCTACCAATGTATTTTTCAGTGTTGAAAGAAGATCTTGGTTGAGTGAGCAGAGTTTGTCCATGGTTTGCTTTTTCTTTTCTAGATCGGTTTTTAAAACCTGTTAAAACAAGGAAGAACACAGACTAAGCCTAGGTTACATTTTATGAAACACTATAGTTCAATTTGCTTTTGCATGCACTTTCTCATTTGTATAGATATGGAAAGATTATAATTGTGCCTGCAAAAGATCGAGAGTTCATAAAAATATAAGTAGAAAATTGTAATCCAAATAATGTTCCGTTGAAGAGAAATAAAAGTCAGATGTAGAATAAACACCTCGTTGAGGCACTTACGAACTACCTAAACATTTCTGAAGAACTGCCAAGTAAAAATGTAGCATTGCTTCAAAAGGCAAAACAGAGATCAACATATGGAAATTACTTTTTTTTTTTTTTTTTTTTTGCGGTACGCGGGCCTCTCACTGCTGTGGCCTCTCCCGTTGCGGAGCACAGGCTCTGGATGCGCAGGCTCAGCGGCCATGGCTCACGGGCCCAGCCGCTCCGTGGCATGTGGGATCTTCCCAGACCGGGGCAAGAACCCGTGTCCCCTGCATCGGCAGGCGGACTCTCAACCACTGCGCCACCAGGGAAGCCCTGGAAATTACTTTTTAACATTTGGAGGTTTTCTAAAGTGAAAGGCATGGCTCTTGGATGTTAATGAATTTCTTTAAAATTTCTGGTAGAATTCAAATAAAATATCACATGCCAGGAGTACTGAAGAAAAGATGGTGAATTGAGAAGATGAGCATGGCTAAGGGGCCTTCCCAATCTGAAATGCTGTGATTATCTGAATAAATTTGCAATATTATTTATTTCTATGGTTTTTACATTCTTTTCATTATTTGGATACAAAAACCTTGTTATTGAGTTTACTGACTTTTTCATTTTTTAGCATCTGTTATTAACTTTCAGCTATTTGAGTAATTATCTTCTAAAGCTAATTTTAGAGCCCATTAAGTAACAGAACTAAGTAATTGAGTATAACACAAATCCTTTGGAATCACTTTGCCTGTTTACTAAATGCTTGTGTTTTATGAAGTATTTTTATACCATTCATATTTCCAAAGTTCCTGGAAGCTATGGAGGGTTACGCATGCCATTTGGTTGACAGAGAATGAATAAACAAAGTGGCTTGTGTGAAATCAGTAGATCAGGGCAGCTTATTCTTTCATTTTATCCATTAAGGTCAACCTATGCTTTGGGAAATCCCATTTCCATCTCCCAAATGCTAGTCCCTGATGTAATTCGTAAACATAGAGTAAGAAGAAAGAAAGGAGAGAATAATTTTATGGCCCCTTTACAATCCCCTCTTTTTGGCAGTAGCAAGTACAACAAACATAAACTAAGCTGTGAGACCTGTCATTCCAAAATAAATGCAAATTTATTTAAGTACAACTAACATTGCACATGGCAAAGAAATGAGTATGAAACAGATGTCCCAACTGCTCATGAACCGAAGTGTCATAGACAGAGAGAAATCAACACACACACCCCTTCCCACCCCACCCCCACCCTCCGCTCAAAGGACACTTTATGTAGTTCATTTTGGCATGCCACCTGCATTGATAGCTCTTAACTGCAGACTGCTCCATTGTCTCCTTCAATTAGTTCATCCTTTTCTCAGAATCTATTTCACCTGGTGCTCTTTATATTGCAGTCGTACTGGACGCCGTTTGTAGGGAATAAAAGCAAGTTTTGAAATGAATTTCTAGTTTCTCCTCAGTAATTGTTTTTTCACTATTTTTTCTAAGTCTGAAAGAATGCAATAGACCAAAATATGAATTAAGATATATAAGCTGAATCTGAAGAAGGGGAAACCATTTGTGTTGGAAATTTATGGGTAGTCTTATGTTACCTAAAAAGATTTTCTTAGATGATCTATAAAAGTAATTGGGGGCCTCCCTGGTGGCGTAGTGGTTGAGAGTCCGCCTGCCGATGCAGGGGATACGGGTTCTTGCCCCGGTCCGGGAAGATCCCACATGCCGCGGAGCG